ATATACTCTCTACTATACCTCTCTACTGTAGTCAAGGCATTATGAACTCTCACATCATCAATTGGCTTTTGTGGCTGTAAGTGGAATCTACTGCACAAATTAATACAACGGACAATGAATTAGAGACTTCATACTCCAAACTAAATTTTTTCACATGAAAGAGTTTTGTAACTAAAATTATATTATTATATTGCTTACTTATTACTTACTTATTATGTACTTATTTACTAGGCCATAACATCCATTACCGAATCTGCCTGACGCATGTCTTTTCAGACGCTTCTGCTGCGTGCGTGCCTTCTCCAGTTTTCTACATCAAGTTTAGTTAGAGCTCCCTAAATTTGATCACACCACCAGACACACGGTCTACCTCTACGCCTTTTTCCTCCAACTACTGCCTGAAATACGTTCATTATTTGTTTTCAATTTGCTTTTGAGGCTCTTAGCGGAATCAAGTAATACTCGTATCACTGCTGTAGAAATCTATACAGCGAACAATGGATTAGCGACTTCATACATCAATCGAAAGACTATAACAAAAAAGAGTTTATCAATTATTATTTTATTGTTAAATTACTTATATGGTCATAACCATCCGTTACCAGGTTTCGGTCTGACACATCATGTCTTTCTAGGCGCCACTGCTAACCGTAGTGGCGCCTGACACATCAAGTCTGACACATCAAGTCCGTACATCAAGTCCAGTTTGATCACTGCACCGGAGAAACGGTCTACCTCTACACCTTCTTCCTCCAACTACTGCTTCAAATACCTTTTTCGCTGAAGCATATTCATACATTGTAACGTCATAACAAACCCAGCGAAGTGACTGAAAGTTAATTCGCTGAATTATTTCAATGTCATAATACTGCTCTTACAGCTTATACAGCTTGTACAGCATTCGAAAGCTGTAGTCCTCGCCAACTCATAGAGAACCAAAGTTCTTACGAACAAGTAGTGATAGAAGAAAGAGGTAATGAAATGCATTTGAAATGAAGATTTTGATTCTTTTTTTAATTTAGTTTATAGCTTTAACCTATGCCTCCCACGAAACATCATATAGTACTGTATGCTTCTCAGCTAACATGTAATTACTTTTAAGCGCATAATTGCAATAATGTGACAGATGTCAATTTTCAAAGAGTCAAGAGTTTAATTTTGAGATTCTTCAAGAGTTGAAGAATTACCCATATACACAAAACTTCGTGTTACTCCCATTGTGATAAATCACATAGACTTGTTAGCCAATTCATGACCTCAAAACTTACAAATACACAATCGCTGAAAGCAAAATAGATCGTATTTATGCCATTTCAAAATATAAAACTCAAAAATGTAACGACCAAAATTAATAGTTTAAATCAGACCTTGGTTATTTAAAGAAGAAATTCTGGCCTATCACACCTCCAGACTAAATGCTACAGCATTTATGTACTAACTTTTTGAAATTACAATATTCTTTCGAAATTTACTTATGGGTCTTTATTGTCCCAGATATGAAAAGTTTGTTTATGGACGTATTAGTAAAACAACAAATTTACACAATTTTACATGTTCGGTGGTTGTTAAACGATACCTATTGTAAGACAAATCTTAAAAAAATCTTAAACATATGACACATTAAATAATAGTTTCGTTAGGTATATGTCACTGAAGCAAGACCAAATAAATACCACAAAGAACCTTTTAAGTACGTGAAAACAATTTTAATTGTAAAAAAAAACATTTCTGTGTATCTGTATTTTGATAATTTTGCAAAGTATTTTCTAATGAAATAGTGTTACCATTATACTATTGTTTAAGAATATACTTCAGATGATCATTTCTGTAGTTTCTGTAAAGTCTTCACTTACTTTAAAATCAAAGTAAAACCACATATACTATTGTTTGATACAAGTCACGATAAAATTCGTTATTATGAAATGATTATTCAATCAAAAGGCTTAATTAGTTGCCGTAGGCATAGCAAACGTAGAAAATCCGATCACTAAATACTTCGCACGCAAAGAAATACAATGCAATTACTCAATGTTCACATCAGCTGATATAAGATTTCTTTTATGTTTATATTAGGAAATCATGTTAGGTTCTTACGTTTCTAACTATTTTTATTTTAGAACAAGTAACTGAAAATGTTGTTTTTTATAATGTAGAACGATTCAGCTGTTTTTTTACGCCTGAACTAATTCAACCTTAATTGCTTTACTCAAATTTAAAAAATAAAATAGTCTTGAAACCTCTGGAAAATTTCTATTGATACAATAATTCTGCACTAACACCAGTTTTTAAAAATGTTCACTCTGATTTTTATTCATGCATATAATATTGGAAGAGCATATTCTCCTAAAATGGAAGAATATCTGTAAAGCGTATTCTCATCAAACTCCAATTTTATTTCTAAAACAATACTTTAAATGCGAATGCATTACATTACAAAACTTTACTTGTACTTTAACTTCTTCAGCAAATACTGTATAGTAGTAATACGTCTCAATATTAAAAGACTTTTTTAATGAATACATCAAAGAATGGATTAACAAAATTTTTAAGTTCAGAATTCCCATCCAACATTGATTTATTAATTAAAAATTTATGAGTCATATACCGATCTGAGTCATTGCTGTCCTCTTACTCAAATTTTTTATCGGTTTGTTGAAAAATCTCTATACTAGATCTTATAATCCTCAGTATTTATTCTTCAATAAAGTCGATTTATCTTATTTAACAGTTATTATGCATAAATAATATATAAATATTATAATAATATTATTATATTATTATTATAAATACCTATATATAAATGTGATCCTTTGTTTCATGGGGGACTACTTGGATTAGAAAAATATACCATCTGAATAGCATTGTATAGTATTCTCTACATAAGAATAATAAATAATAATTTATAAGAATAATCCTCTTCTTTCACAATATATATGTATATAGCATACAGCTTAGCCTTCCACAAATTTGTGCGAGGGTACTATTTAAAGTGTATATTTTATTTAACTGATATGCTTTATAAAATAATGAATTAATGAAAAAAAATTTAAATAAAAGACAAACTCTTTTTATTCTAATAAATTTATTTGAATAAAGTATTTAGTGTTGCTGTTAAGCTAGACTTACTTTGTATAGGGACAAAGAAGCTTTATTAAATTTTTAGAAGGGTTTTCGAATAACAAAGAAAGAAATAAAGGACAAACACAAAAATTTATTTTTAATTTTATTGAAGTTTGGCTGACCATACAACGCTGTTTCGAGTATTGCCAAGTACTCTTCATCAGTGGTCTTTGGAATAATCGAATTTTTATTTAATTAATTTATAGTCCGTATATAATTTGTTAGGACTGCAAGAGCCAGGCTTAGAACTCGTGCCTGTCAAATTAGAAGCGATGACTAATTGTGTTTAACCACAAGAAGCCAAGACTGCACAAACTTTCAATGCTCAAGTTCCAGATTTTATTGTCACTTATTTTTATTTAATTAGTGACACCAACCAAAGCACTTGCCGTGCTTTAAATTGGAACGAGCTTATAAACTACAGCTTTATTTTGGAAACACAAGTTCAACGAATTGAAAGTTAACTTTTTGGGTTCGCCTATTCTTTATTTTTTCAAAGCTACTCTTTTTGTAGAGACATTTTGTAATGCATATTGTTTTACTTACTATATGTAAAGCGACCATTCTGGTGCTTTTTACAAAGAAGCTATGCTATGTTATTCTACAAATCCGCTTTCGCGGTTATGAAAAGCTGAACAATATTATATTTTAACATATTGTTCTTATTTTTCACTTTTCATTTTGTTATTCGAAAACTCTCTAAATTTTAATAAAGCTTCTTTGTCACCATACAAAGAAAGCGTAGCTTTATAGCAACACTAATACTTTATTCAAATATTAGGCTTGTGAAAAGTAAAGAACAATATGTTAAAATATAATATTGTTCAACTTTTCCTAACCGCGAAAGCGGATTTGTAGAATAACATAGCATAGCTTCTTTGTAAAAAGCACCAGAATGGTCGCTTTACATATAGTAAGTAAAACAATATGCATTACAAAATGTCTCTACAAAAAGAGTAGCTTTGAAAAGAAATAAAGAAATAGGCAAAACCCAAAAGTTAACTTTTAATTCGTTGAACTTGTGTTTCCAAAATAAAGCTGTAGTTTATAAGCTCGTTCTATTTTAAAGCACGGCAAGTGCTTTGGTTAGTGTCACTAATTAAATAAAAATAAGTGACAATAAAAACCTGGAATTTGAGCATTGAAAGTTTGTGCAGCCTTGGCTTGTTGTGGATAAACACGATTAGTCATCGCTTCTAATTTGACAGGCACGAGTTCTAAGCCTGGCACTTGCAGTCCAAACAAATTATATACGGACTATAAACTAATTAAATAAAATTCGATTATTTCGAAAGACCACTGATGAAGAGTACTTGGCAATACTCGAAGCAGCGTTGTATGGTCAGCCAAACTTCAATAAAATTAAAATAAATTTTTGTGTTTGTCCTTTATTTCTTTCTTTGTTATTCGAAAACCCTTCTAAAAATTTAAAAGTTATTTATTACGTTCTGTTTATTTCCTTAATCAGGAAACTGGAAACTTCTTCTCAGAAAATAATTTTCTTTTCTTATTTGAATTGTAATCCAGCTTACTGTGATTATTGAGAATATCGGCGGCTACACATGTATTATTTGATTATTTAAAGAATTTTACTATTAAAAAATATGATTATATGATTATATATTATATATTAATAGAAGATTGTTTAGGGTAATAGTGCTACTGTTGTCCTGTCGGTTGTTGCTCTCCAGTTAATATTATATACGTCTTCGATTCCATTTCATGGAAAGAAGTAAATAATATTATAGCTTTTTTAAAAATTTAAAAATTTTAATTAAATATATGACAATGTTTTGATTTTATTTGAATGTATTAAAATTTATTTTTACAAAAATTGTCAGTACAACAGACAAAATAAGTTGAATAAAAGTTAAGGCAGTGGGTGTGGATATTTGATGGTTTCATTAAATATGTTGCATACATATAGCATTTGTTTAAATTATTATTCTATTATTTGTTAAACGTATAAAACATATGTATTTTAATGTAATTTAATAGTAAATTATTTTAATATAATTTTAGGGAAATTTATTGGCTTGCATTAGCATTTTCCATTGGTTGGCGCTTTGGGACGACAGATTTTGCTTCGACCATTGGCGCCATATACAATGTTGCATGAGAAAGTGAAATAACCACAGGTTGATGATTTTGTGTAATATGTTGATTGGAAATTTTTATTCTCTTGCGGTGGGTTTTTAGTATTATCCATGCTGCCAGTAACTGATTTGGTTACTGTCACATAACTGTCTGGTGTCGGAATTTTACTGTGTTCATGATCTTTAGAGTTGCCATCAACATTATTTTCTGTTGTGTGCGATTCAAGTGCTTTTGTATGGAATTTTTTTTCAACATTTACAGTTCCACGAAAACCGCTTGGAACATTTGGTGTTGTAGTGCGAATTGGATATCTTTGTTCACGTCCATTTTGGTTTTGAACCACTGTATATTTATCATTAGCGTTTGCTATCGCTACCTTTTGTACTTGCGTTGGAGATTGTTGTGTAAAAGTGCTGGGTAATGTTGGGGTTTCATTTTTATTATCTTTTCCATCAGATTTGGGAGTATTGGAATTTGAGTCCATCTTAATCGGGTTTTCATAATAATCGTCTTCGTCGTCATAATCTTCGTATGGTTCTTCGTCATCTTCATCTTCCGCCAAAGTACCTGATTCATTGTTTACTTTATTAATTGCTGCTAAATAAAAGTTGTTAACAAAAAATAATTTTTAAGTGATCTAAAGAATATTACTTTCTTTACTGGTTTTTGACGCTTTTAATTGTAAATCGGGTAATAGTCCCGGTTCAGCAGTTAATGCGGGGCCACTGTATAGAGTATCTACACGATCCGTTACACTAAAAGAAAGTCTGTTATTACATTCTTCATTATATTAAATGTTAAAATCGTACGCATCACCATTTCCAAACTGGCTAATGGAGTGAAATAATTCTCGGTTTTGCTCACGATAAGTTGCCACTTGTTCTTTTGTACCTGAAGCCGATTGTGCAGCACCATGGTAAGATACGCCATATCTTAATACGTAATTTAATAAATTGAATTTGTCAGTAAAAATATCTTATGTATTTACTTGGATGTGCCATGTATTTGAGACTGGCTTTGCCCTGAGTGACTACCAGATTGAGCAGAAGCTTGCCCACCACCGTTTGATGAAATTAATTCGGTGCCATCTTGTCTAGGACGGAAACCTATTTGTGCTTGTGATGATGTTTGGCCTGGCCCGCTAGACTGAGCATCAGCTAATCCTCCCTTATCGTTTGCTTGAACCTGTATAGATAAGTTAAAATCTACTCTTCACTGGTATTAGAAAACTTGATCTCTTACTTCGCTTTGACTTTGATGAATTATTCCTCCACTTTGCGATGATGCTTTAGTTCCACCATTCTTTGAATTGACTTGCACCTGAGCTTGTGATTGTGCTGCACCTCCCTGGCCTTGCGATTGACTCATTGCACCCTCAACACTTCCACTAACTTGTGCATTTGCTGAACGATCACTATCTGAAGTCATTGCGCTTGCACTAAATGTACCAGAAGAGCTATATGTACCAGAGACTTGAGTCTTTGCTGTACCTCCATTCTTCTTTCCTTGAGCACTTGCAGCTGCCTGTCCATCAGCTATTGAAGACTCAGCTTGTGAAAATGCATCATCCGCTCCACTTGTACCATCCCCAGTAACTAATGAACCTGGAACACCTTTCACAAATAGTACATGCGTAAGTATTTTACATATGAGTTAGAAACTATAAATTACCTTCTGTTTTATACTCACCTACAAATTGACCTATCGGACCAGTAACACCGGTAAATCCAGAAGGAAGTCCCACAGCACCAGGTTGTGCATAACCGCCAACAAGTTGGCCTGGTGGCAATAAACCTCCTCCAACTCCGGGCTGACTCGGCAATAAGCCTTGTTGTCCAGGTACAAGTTGATCTGCACCTATACCAGGCTGTCCGTAAATACCGCCAATTTGTCCAGGTATAATTTGACCAACACTAACACCTGGTTGTCCTGGTGCAAGACCTTGTTGACTAGGTTGTCCAAAAACACCACCAATTTGTCCTGGTGCTGTACCAACACCTAATTGACCTGGTAGTAATCCTTGTTGACCAGGTTGAACGGGTACGTTATAAAGTTGATCAATTTGTCCTGCTCCTACACCCGGTTGGCCAGGTGTGACACCTAGCTGACCAGGTTGTCCCGGTAATATACCCTGTTGACCAGGTTGTCCGTCCCCGCCACCAATTTGACCAGGTGCACCTACTCCAGGTTGTCCTGGTAATACACCTTGTTGAACAGGTTGACCGTAAATGCCACCAATTTGACCAGGTGTACTTACTCCAGGTTGTCCTGGCAATACTCCTTGTTGACCTGGTTGCCCATACACGCCACCAATTTGACCAGGTGCACCTACTCCAGGTTGTCCAGGTAATACACCTTGTTGACCAGGTTGACCGTACACGCCACCAATTTGACCAGGTGCACCTACTCCAGGTTGTGCTGGTAATACACCTTGTTGACCAGGTTGACCGTACACACCACCAATTTGACCAGGTGCACTTACTCCAGGTTGTGCTTGTAATACTCCTTGTTGACCAGGTTGACCGTACACGCCACCAATTTGACCAGGTGCACCTATTCCAGGTTGACCTGGTAAAACACCTTGTTGACCAGGTTGACCGTATACGCCACCAATTTGACCAGGTGCACCTACTCCAGGTTGTGCTGGTAATACACCTTG